ATCTCTTTGATTGCAAAATTTCAGATTTCAATCTGGAAATGAATTGAAAAACAAATGGGTAGACAAAAATAATTTACGTACAGTATATATATGTATATATATACATATTTATATAAAAGTATATGTATACATATTAATCTACTAATGAATTATTATTTCAAACATATAGAAATGTTTTAAATTAAATTTAAAATAGAAAAAATTACAAAATTTAAATTACTTCCTTATGTAAAATACATTTTACATTATACATAAAATATATAACATGTATATATGAACATAAGGAATATATGTAATATATATTGAAAATATGTAAGCTATAATATAAATATGTAGAAAATCTGTAATATAAATTATAAATATGTATATATTGTACACATTTACTTATTTACTTACATACTTATATATTATACATTTAAATATAAATATATAAGTATATTTTATTTTCACATAGCTATATAAAAGTTCACATATAAATGGTATATATAAAAATAACGAATTTAATTTAAAATTTTTAAAAATATTTTTAAAAAAAGTTTTAAGCGTAAATTCAATGTAAATATATAAACATAATTTAAATTATTACATAAGTGTTCATACTATACTTTATAATATGCGTTTATTCAATATGTTCGGGAACATATATATACAAAGCATTTACTAATCATTTATTATTTACAAGTATGATAGCTACGAGTCATTTACAAAATATATTATATCGCAAAAATTTAAATAGAAAAAAGAAAAATAAAAATAATAAAAAGAAAAAATAGTTATCTTATAAATAGCCACAAAAGAAATATACATACATATATATATGTACATAATGGTACTATGTAATGTCATCATAAGCTTAAGTGTCAAGGTCTTTATGCCTTAACTGGAACAATTATTAAAAGATAGATCTTTTATTGACACACAAAACTGAATGTTATCTTTTCATTTGTTTGTTTTTCTTTTAGTTTTTTTTTTTTCATTTAGAAAATTGTTTGTACATATACTTTCATATATTATTTATTCATAAATGTATTAACATTTATATATTCATGTAAGAATATAAGCAAAATTATTACATTCTATTAAAAAATATTTATATAAAAAGTTTTTTATTTACACAGAGGCTATGTACATATTATATATAATTATTTGAAATGATGACGTAATTCTTATTACAATTATATATTTATGAACAGAACGATTATTCTCTTATTTTTCAATCATATTTTAAATAAACTTGTGGTCAAATCAATATATTTTTTTTTAAAATACAAATTTTAATTAAAAATTTTACTTTGTTAAAAATTAACATTTTTAGGGAATTATTCAAAATTCAGCATTGGTGGGGGAAGGGTATTTATTTTTAACTCTCAAATAACCCAACAATCAAATATTGACGTAAAACAAAATTATCAAAATATCATTGCATAAATCTAGGGGAAAGTTATTTATGGATAATGTTAATTTAAGAAAAGTACAATGAAACTATTTACGAGAAAAATAAAGCCAAATTAGATATACAAATATTATAGACAATAGGTAATTATAATTAATTTCTTCAAAGTCTTATACCATAAAACAAAAAAAAAATTATTTTTTAAAACTGTTAAAAATCATAACACAAAAGTACCAAAATTAGTAAATGAAAAATTTTTGAAAACCTCAGAAAAAGTACTTTGTATAAAATATGTACTTTTCTTTTAACGTCAAATTTATAAAGTTAATCAAAGGTTTATAACATAATTTACATATGTATGTATGTATTAATCTCTTTAAGTAACGAATTAAAAAAAAAACAACTTAGATCCTACGGTAATATTTAATTTCTTTTAAAATTTCCTAGTACATACATTCATATACATACATTTATATTCATATATCCATAAATTGTTTTTACTATTTTATAAAATCATAAAGTATATAAACATTATATACACTTTTACCATAGTACATGTAATAGTCTTTCTCTTTATAATAAGCACATAGAGAAAAAAATATTTTTTAAGAAGATAAAGAAAATTCATCGAAATAATAAGCTTATTAAGCTTTTCTTAAACTTAAGAAACTTGGTTTTACATTTTTAAAAAATTTTTTAAAAACTTTATATTATACGTGTGTATATACTCGTATTTATATGTTTATGTTCTTACACACTTTCAATTTTCCTTGGAAAATCATTTCCAACCTAAAAATTTCCTTAACAATAATAATATAATCCAAGTTTGAAATATATATGTACATGTGTATGAATGTTTTGTGTATGAAAATGAAGAGAAGAAAATGTGTAAATATGTATGTGTTGTAAATATATTTTCATTTATATGTATAAATTCTTTCACACATTAAAATTTTGTGTATCCTGGAAAATATTTTATGAATTTTCTACATATGTACGTATATTTGTGGAAAACCTTTTAATGGAATTTCCAACTTCTCGAATATTCGTTAATATGTATGTGTGATTAATTTTATTTATGTAGTTAAAAACTGTTTTTGGTTTCATCTAAATATAGGGGGTGGTATTATAAAAACAAAAACTAATAAAAATTGATAAATATTTGAATGTCAGATTCAAGTACGTGTATGCATATCTATATATATACATATATAGTATGTATGTAATTGTAGATTCTATAAGCTACTGAGCCAGTTTTCAATCTATAATTTGTAAGCTAAGTTCTACATTTTCCAATGTTACATATTGTATTTTAACATATTATATATTGCATGTAAATATATATGTATAATGTACACGTATGCATGAGCATTGTATATACAAATTTTTTCGATGTACATATGTATTTATATACATCACAAACATGTATGTATGAATGTAAATTATATGTTACACAAAAGTGAAAAACATTTTTGTATAAATATGACTATATACATATGTACACATCTATGTATATCATATACATCTACGTTTATGTGTTTGTGTAAGTTAAAATACAACTAGTAAGTTTTGTAAATTATATTTGAAAAAAAAAGCAAACCTCGACGGCGAAGCAGTATCAAAAGAATTTCGCAATTTATTTTTTTATTCCTTTTTTGAAAGTCATTTTTAATAAGTTGGCGCCGAAGATATTTTTCAATAAAAAAAGCTTTTGGCTCTCTGTTTCTTTTTTTCTTTTCTTCTTTTTGTGTTGTGTACCCAAACTTGACATAAATGTGCATGTATGTATGTTTTATAAGTATGTATTTATGTATTTACCAACCTTCCAAAAGTCTACATTTCTTTTTCCCTTTGAAATAGAATATTATTTAAAAATTTAATGTGTGTATGGATGTGTGTACATTATGTACTTATATTGACTTGACATTAAACTAGCTTTCATGAATTTCTTTTAAATTTTATGTTGAAAGTTTTATGACATATATTTTATATATGTACATACATGAACATACATGAACTTATGTATAAATATTATTATGTATGTATGTATATACCTTTGTAAACCGTTTCAAAATCATTTTTCTCACATACTGTAGATGTAAGACAATTGTGTATAGAAATTTAATTTTTAAAAATTGAAAATCGTGTAAACTCAATAGCCTCTAAAATTAACGTCACTCAATTTATAACTGTAAATAAGTTGAACTTCTTATTTGATGATATACATAATGTAATTACTTATGTACGTACATACATATACATTTAATATGTACCTCCATACATACATACATGTTGCTTTTTTTGTTAGCAAAGATAAAAATTTTAAAATATAAATGATTTATTTATTAAATAATATCCAATAGGGTTCAATCATTATTCAACATTGTCCATTTTGTGAAAGTATAAAATATAAAAAAATGTTTTCTAAAATAAAATACATATGTTTGCTTAAAAGCTTGAAAATTACAAAAAAAAAAAAAACTTTTCTAGCTACTTAAAGACTTTCAAAGTCAAGCTGGTTTCAAGCCAGATGTCAATTTCAATCATTCGAGTTGACCTAATAAAAACGCTTTTTGATTTTTGAACTGAATTCAAGTCAAAAAAATTCTTCTGTCATATAACCCAGGCATATGACATATAGGGCATAGTTTAATAATTTCCATAGTTTCTAGGGCATAGTTTAATAATTTGCAAATTCTAATAAATAACTGACGACAACTCAACCGCCACTTTTATAAAATATGATGTCATGAGGGGAGATATTTTTTATAAAAAGTTATACAAACCATAGATTAGTTAAATTAATAAACTAACAGTAGAATCTTTCTTCCTTTTCCTCTCCTGTTCCATTCATATTTTGTAATATATGAATGAAATTTGAAATTGAACATAACTATTCTTTTGTAATGAAAATTTAAATAAAAATACAGTATTTATTTGCGCAAGACAATTAGTTATCACACAACTATAAAATACTGCTCATTTAAGTTACTCATCATAAAAATTTCTTTTAACTACAAAAGAAATTATTTTACAAACGAATTATTTTATTTTACAAATGAGTTAGCGTTTTCCTTCCTTCTTGTAAATTATTAGATTCAATCAGTGAAATAGATTTCCTTGTTTTAATCTTTTTTATATTTGCAACATATAATTAAGGTTTCTTGTTATAGGATTCATATCATTTTTCTATTACCTTCTCAAATGAAAAAGAAAATAATGATGAAAATTTGCGAGCAAAATCAGTTTATTGTGACAGAAAATTCGACATTTGCATTAGTCAATTTCCATATAAAAATTTAAGTTTGATTAAAATTTGACAAACCACTGCACTTCTCTTTAATTTTACTCAATATTTTTCTTTATGGCAACACAGTAATAGTCCCAATAAACTTAGATATTAAAAGAACAACAACAAAAAACTAAATTTTTTCTGGCTTTTTTGTTTGAAAAGGCCGTTTTTTCAGTTGACTTGACATTTAATATTTTATAAAATTTACTTCTACCTACCGGCATAACTAAACCAAAATTTTTTAAATGTTTAATTATTTTCATATAATATTAACATACAATAATATTCGTAGTTAATCATAAGTGAATTTAACGTAACTCTACCGCGCCAGTAATCAAAAAACTTATGGAATGGAGAACTACAAAACACCAAATAAAATTTTAAGTTCTCATGCAGCATCGATTCAACAATTTTATAAAAAATCTCCAGCTACTTTTAAATTTTTGAGTCATTTCAAAACTCAACTTTGTAATTCTCAAAAAAGTTCAAAAGTTTCACAATCCAGTTTAGGGACCCAAACTCCAGATAAAAGGAATGGGGAATTTGCATGTACTCCTGGAAAAAGTTCAAGTCTCAGCTCTACAGCTAAATCATTTAACTTATTCCCTATTGCGAATACACCCCCTTCAGGTAGTCAAAGGAAAAAAATAACAAATCCTTTTGAGGCTGCTTTAGCTGAACGCTTGCACTTGCCTTTGATATGCAGGTAAACAACAAATTTATTTAAATTAAGTATATTTTCATTTATTCTGATTTCTTTTTTCATAGCCCGTCGCTTTTTCATAGACCTGCAACACCTCAATATTCATCATCTACACATTTTGAGTGGACTATCGAAGAGGTTTCGTCAATGGGACCAGCAAATGTTGAGCCACACGAAACTCAGTTCCATGACGTATTTGATCCTGAAACTGAGGCCAAAACTCAAGCTGCTATTAGTTCATTTTTTAAAGAACAACAAATTGTTCCTAGTCCGGTTGATAGACCTCTAAGAAAACAAAGAGTTGTATTAACAAGTGAAATTGAAAATTCTCCGAATCCAGGACGATCAATTAAAAGAATCAGGGACGGCACAGCTCAAACAATATTAACTCTTCCCCCAGTTTTACCTCTGGAAATAGAGCAAGCTTTGAAACCATATTTTAACTTTATTCAAAACCAACAGCAAAGTCCTTCAATCAACTGTGATAAAAGTAATTTTTCAGCTGAATATCATGAAGCTAGAGACGCATCACTTCGTCGGAAACTATTTGCAGTTCCAAATTTAGCAAATGATGATACTTTAGACGATGTTTATGATGAAAATGCAATTTTCCAAAGCAGCGCTTTTAACAGTCCACCACCAAAATCTCCAGATATTATTGAAGTAAATTATTTGACTATCTTTTTATTTTTTTAGAGTAATTTATTTTAATTTTCAGGATACTGGAGACATTTCTGATAAAGAACATTCCGCAAACGCTTTTGATAAAAATTCCTTTGGATCGCTTTCACCTATATCTAAGCTTTCTTCTGATAGCCCAAGATTATCATCTGAAAAGCAGTATTTAAACAACCAGAGACATAAAAATATTTCGCCCACTAAAGGCGCCTCTCATCAAAATATTACGGTTCAGCAAAGTAAAGTCAATTCAACAAGTCTGCAACAAGACAACTTATCAAGCAATGCAAATACCTCATTTATTAATATCACCACATCACATTTATATAGATCAACACCTGATAATTCCATGCAAGTAAAAAATCTCTCAACAGAAAACATTTCAGAACACAATATGTCAATTGATTCTTCTTTTAACCACAAAATCAGCCGCCAATTAGTCAATAATTTAAAGCCTAATGATTCCAAAATCAACGAAATTTCTAAATGCGTAATGATTGCGGAGGTTGATATATTTAATCAAAATGAGTATGATGAAGATGATATGCAAGTAAGTCAACTATCTGAAAAAAGTGCGAACTCATCTCGTTCATCTAATTCGGATACTCCTAGACGATCAAAAAAAGCAGTAAATCGTAAAAATTTGTCAAGATCATTTTCGTCTTATGTTTCAGATGATGAGGACGAACTTTGTGTTGATAACAGTAAAAAAAATGAGAAATGTACTAATAGTCAAATGAAAAATGATACCTTAAGTCCAGAAAAAATTAAATTTTGCAACGATAATGCTAATGTGCATTTACAACCACCAGAAAAATGTCTATTTCACCGAACAGATAGTGGTTTCAATGAAATGACTGCTACCCAAGATGATGTAAAATTCACAAAAAATTTAAAAAATGATGAAATTATTGTAAATAATATGCTTAATGATGTAGATATAAGTATGATATCTTGTTCTACACCATCAAGAAAAATTATAGATTAAAAGTTAAATAACCAAGCCGAAATTCAAACTATTGGGACTGCAAATTTTAAAATTTGATACTTTAGCGAAGCTAGAAACATGTATGCGACACACAATAAATGCCGGTTCGGCCTAAAACGGAATTTTTTTTGAAATTGCTTCTTAAGTTGAACTTAATGCTTCGAACTGAAATTGCACCCTGCATATTTATTGAATTCAACTTAATAACAACGAATTAGTTGCTGCAATTGTATTCTCAAAACAAACCCTTTTTAGATTTGGTCGGTGTATTAAATGATTTATTGTCAGAACCTTTTTTAAACGCTTAAATTTATTTATAATACGGATTTTTAAACAAAACTGCAATCTTTAAATATTAAAGTTAATCTAAGGTTGTTTTATACATGTATAACGTTATTATTTGCACTAGAGAAAATTTTTAATTGAAAACTAGAAAATTAGCCATCATATTTTTATACGCATTTATGTAATTCAATTTTTACTTATAAATAAAATTAATTTGTTAAATAAATAAAATTTTATTGCAATTCTCCAGGGTTATTAAGGCAAGCTTTAGTGCGGGAAAAAGCATGACGAATACGTAAATATTTATGTATATAAATTAAGTTTACTACACTTTACTGCGCAGTTTGGTAAACAAAATTATTTTCTAAATGTCAAATATTTTGTAAAAATTAAAATAAATTTGACGTAAAGTCTTATTTTCCTCAAGCGTCAATATTTCCTGCAAAAACTATACTCAAAGTGGATGAATTGAGAAACGTATTTTAAACCTATGATCGAAGTTTGTATACATATATATTATGAAAAATCAATTTTTAATATTTATGTACTTTTTACTGCAGGATATTTGACGTCTTTCGGGACTATAAACTTGTCAAAAAAAGAAGTGTAAATAAAAGCCTATAAAACGACAATGTAAAACTATTTAAGAGTTTGCAAAAACCGTAAATAAAACAGAATGACAAACATAAGAAAACATATTAATGTTTTATGATAGAATTTGAATTGGAATAAATATTTATGCTGGTTTTTGAAAATACTCCCTAAATTTCAATACGGACAAAATTAATAATTTGATAATTGATATGGCATCTCTAAAATGTAAGTGCGGATATGTCAAATGCAAATCAACAAATTATGTCAAAAAAGTAAACAAAACAAATTACTATTAATTGAAACAATTTTAGACTTTCTTTTTTAAATTTATAACGAAATACTAAGTTAAGTTTCTTTAAAAATCCTTTAATTTTAAAATAAAATGCTAGCAGTACAAGGCGGTATTCCAGATAAAGCATGGCAACCCCATTTTGTTTCATTCGAAACATCGTAAGTTCTAAACTTTAGTTTTCACATATTGTATATTAATATATTTTTACCAAATCCAAGCCTTCAAAATATACATATGTAAAATTACGCACATTTTTTTTTTTTTTTTAGAATGGGTGAGATAACATTTGAGCTTTATTGGAAACACGCACCAAATACATGTCGTAATTTTGCCGAACTATCAAGAAGAGGTTACTATAATAATACTATATTTCATAGAGTTATACAAGATTTTATGATTCAGGGAGGGGATCCTACTGGTAAATTAAAATTTTTCTTAAACTTTTATAAATTAACTTTTTGAATAAAATGCTTAGGTACTGGTCGTGGTGGTCAATCAATTTATGGCCCAACATTTCCTGATGAAATTCATCCTGATCTTAAACATTCTGGAGCTGGTATTTTATCAATGGCAAATAGTGGTCCAGATACGAATGGATCTCAATTTTTTATAACATTAGCGCCCACACAATGGCTAGACAACAAACACACAATATTTGGTCGGGTATATTCCGGTATGCAAATTGTTAAAAGAATTGGTATGACTGAAACCGATAAAAATGACCGGCCAGTTGATAATGTTAGAATAATTAAAGGAAAAGTTGAAAAATTCTAGATATATTAAAATAAAACGAAAATTACAAAATGAAAGTATTGTTTTTAATAATTTTTTGGGCTTCAAAATGATTCATATTACTTTGTTGAATCATTAGGAGAGAAATTGAATTCGTATATTATTATATATGTACTCAATATATTTATATTGAGCTAGTAAAAATATAATACATTTTTGTTAATATGCAAATAAATAACACTATGTACGCATAACAAATTTGTATTATAACTACATATTTGTATATTGTCTGTAACAAATGAAGCAGTTGAAATGGAAATTCTTCATTCTAAAATTTAAGATATTTAATTTATAGACCTAAAATAATTAAAAAAAAAGGGAAATTCATATACCAAACCATTTTTTTTTTTTTATAAAATAATTGAAATTTTAATTTTAATTAAAAATTATTTTAATAAAATTAAAATTTCCACATATTTGTTTATTTTTTTTTTTTTGTAATAATTTTTCTTTTCAATTTTTTTCCTTTTTTTTTGAGATTTTTTTTTCAATGTTTTTTGTTTTTTGTGTATATATAATAATATGATCAGCAATTTTACGTTTACATACATATTTAAAATATGAAATATAAATAAATTGTTTTTTACGATAAACATTACTTTTATGTGAAATTTCTCTATAACATTTTCATTTTACTTATTTTTTTTATCATAATTTTGTTTTAAATGAAAATAAATTGATTTTATAAAAAAAGAAAGTTAAATATTTTAACTAAAATATAAAAGAAACAGTTTCTTTATTATATTGTGTATTGAAGATTAGTCTGAAAGAACATAGAACATTGAAAATTAATTATTTGATTTGAATTATTATCATTTGTAATAATTATTTTTTTTTTATTTATTTTAACTTTGTTTTTATATGTTTATTTATTTTATTTTTTTCTTTGAAATAAATCGAGTCGAATTTAATAAAAATTTAAAAAATGTTTTTAGTCGGTAACTGATTAAGATTTTTTTTTTTTTTGTTTAATCAAAGCGAATCGATGTTTTTTATGCTTTAATTTAAAAATTTTGTTGCACAATAATGAAAAAAAAATTTTGCGATGCTGTAATTTTAATGTAGGCGTTTTGCGTCTTTGTTTTTGTGTTCTTAGTGTATGTTTACTATATTCAAAAGAAATTTGTATGCATTATCGATCAAAAAACAAACATGGAAATTACGCTGTTGAATTACTATTGTCGCCGTTGTTATCATGAAAGTTGGCTCCGTTTACAATAAATGATGTACCTAGCCCGTAAAGATGACCACAATATTTAGCGTTGTCAATGTTATCCTCGAAAAACATCTAATATAAAAATATTTGTTTACATTTAAATATTAAATTCGAAATCAATTTTATACATATTAAGAAAAAATACAAAAACAAATAAAAAAGAAAAGATGTTTTTATGTTTGTACAGTGAAATATGTATGTATGTATATCGCCAAGTTGTAAATCATATTTAATATTGATAAATGAATTTCAAGCCTTTATGAAACTTTTAATCTTAAGCATTTATACATACACAAATTCTCACTTGCTATCTAGCGACATGCAAAATGTTAAAATGAAAAACAATAATTCAAAGGAAAAAAATTTTGAATTAACAATTTTATTAAATTTAAAAAATCAAAATAGTTTTGCCTATCATTTGCAAAACAAAACTTCCTGGTTTATATACAAATACAAGACTGATAGTTAAATAAACTATAAAAATATCAATAGATCAATAAACTTAAAAACATTTATTTACACAACGAAAATAGCAAACGAATTCGCCTTTTCTTAATGAAATTTTCATTGGAAATCAAAAAAAAAAATTTAAATTGTTAAGGTCAAATAATTGAATTCAATTTTTTATACTTTTTCATTTTTATATTTTTTTTAAATAATATTACGCAAATTTACAACTGCATAATTTTACAAACTTAAAATCAATTTTTTTTTAAATCAAAATGAAGAAAATCCATGTAGGTAATTAGAAAACCTAACTACTGTAATTTTGATTAATTTTAAAAGGAGCATTTATTCATATTTTTATCGTTAATTTAATATTCAATAAGGTCAAAATAACAAAAATTATTTATATATTTAAAAAAATTAAAAAAAATTAATTTCAATTATAACAAAATAAAAAAAAAATCAAAGAAAGGAAAGTGAGCAAAGTAACAATTTACATATTCATTAATTCAAATGAATGTTAAAATAAACATGAAAATCAAATATTAAATCTCTAAATAGATATGAGAATGAGTGAGTTTCATATTATCAAAACTTAATACCTCTCGCATTTTAAAAAATGCCATGCCTGTTAGTAAAGAATCTGATCCAGCCTGATGTTGCGGACCAACTCGACGTAACTCTAATTGATCAGCAACTTCTTGTAATCCACCTTTTAAATTTTTGCATGATTTCATCAAGTATTTTATATCGTATATTGTTGGAAAATATAAACGTAATAATTCGAAAAATTCACTTTCTTCTGCTGGCAAATTTTGATCTGTTAATAATTTTAATAAATAACCAAAATCGTAACCAGAATGAAAGCAAAGCCATTTAATATTATCCATTAGAACAATGCCAGATGACATTAATAATTCAGCAAAATCAAGTGGATCAATACCGTCCTCTTCGTGTTTTTTGAACTGAATTCCAGAATTTTGTAATAAATCAATTGAATCTTGAGCGTACATATCTTCGCTAAAATTTGAAAAAGAAAACTTTTATAAAAATTTTAAAAACATTAATTTTTATATGCTCACGCCAAATTAAATTTAAAATTGAATTGCCAAGTTGAATAGCCTGGTGGTGTTTTACCATCTTCATCCATAAATGTTAAGCCCAATTGTATTATTCTTAATAAATCAACATTACATCTTAAGAGCTGATATTGATAATCAGCCGTAGATCGGAATTCCCCAACTGGTCGAGCAACAACACCAGGAAATTCAGTATCCATTGCAACATAATGGTATTTTTGAACAATTTTTCGAATTGTACGAAATTCTTCTTCAAGATTGTGTTTCCAAACATCACGAATTCCGCATTCTTCATTGCTTGGTATATTAGCCGAATGCGACGCATGGCCGCCGCCTATTGCCGAAGGCATTGCCTGTAATTCATAAAAATACGCTTAAGAATAGAATTGACAATTGAAAATAGAGTTTAAATAAAAAAGGAAAAAAAAATATATTTTTATTGCAAAAATATTATGCAAATTGGTAACTATATAAATTTTCATGTAATTTTATTAAAATTACAAGAAATAATATTTTGCTATTATAGCAAAAACTTTATACAAATATTCCTACACCTACCTTTTTAAATCTTAAAATTACATTTCCATTTTTAACATCTACTTTTTACATAAGTTGTCAGTGTTTTCATATAAATAATGACATTAACTAACAGGCATTAATTTTCAAAAAAAATAAATCCTTAATTTACATTATTTTCTTAATAAAAAAAACTTAACCTCAATAAAAAAATTAAAATTAAAAATGCATTTATCATTGTTTCAAGAATGAGATTACGAGAATAATAAAATTAAAAATTAATATAATTTCACTAATATATTCAACACTTACATCAGTTGACTCACTGACTTCAGCCACGGTGCCCCGCTCCAACTTTATCCAAGGATAATTATTGCGCTCAGCGCCTTCCAAAACAGTATTTTAAAAAGTTTCAATTTTTATTTGCTTGAAGTATTTTTAATTCGAAGGTCAATATGCAAAACAAAATCAAGAGCAATGCTCCGTTCATTTAAAAATAATTGAAAAATGTTGATTAATGAAAATTTAAAGGTGTAAGCGGAAATAACTCGATTTTTTGTTAAATTAGAGTTCTTAATGTTCTGTGTTGGATTACAGTTAGTTGATGATTATTTTATTTCTGAAAGTTGGTTGTTTCTGCAAATAGAAAAATTTATTTCGTCTTTCTTCATACAAAATACTTTCCAAATATTCTGTAAGTTCTCAAAAATAATATCAATATCAACAAAATTTTAAATTATTTCCACTTTCAATAAAATTTACCCATTTTATTTGTTTGTTTTATTATGGAAAATCCACTGATATGGTTTTCCAAACTAAACGAAATTGCTGTTTTTTTATCCTGATGTAAAAATTAATAAAAACAATATTTTTTTAATTTTTTTTATTTAATCATCGACTAAAAACACTTTTTGACGCTTCAAGTGATATATATATATAAAATTTTTATTTTCCTTTTTTTGTCAATGTTCAAGGAAAATGTCAATTTAACAATATGTGAAATCGGAACTATGAAATTGAAATGAAATTGAAATACTAAAATTAGTGCTGCCAGCGTTTGTAATGCTTTGCTTTTTAAATAATTTAGAACTGGTTAATATTCAGTTTACATAACAAAGTTGATGTTCAATTTGTTGTATCATAATTTGAAATTTAATCAGATCTCATCAGAAAGAATTAAATGTTTAACTCTGTTTTATTATTATAAAATACTAAGCTTTGTCCCATGAAAAAGTTTTTTTTTCACCAAAAACTATTATTTAATACTTTGCCAAGAGGTAATAATTTTAACTTATAATTTGGCAATTTATTTTAAACGCTTTAATTTTTATTTGTAAATGACAATAAAAGTAATGAATGACAACTAGACAAATCATTTTATGAAACTTTTGCATTTGCTGCATTTCCGACATAGCTCGGTCAAAAGTAATTCGAAAAATCCATTTTAATTTTTTTTTCTGGCAATTTTGCATTTTCTATTTGCTAGCATTGGTACAGCTACTAGATGTGTAATTTATCACAAAAATCTATCTAAACAGAAGCTGCAAGCTACAACTACAAACTTCATTAAATTCAGGAACATATTTAAGCCGCTCAAGTTTTGTGCTGCTTACACTTGTGGAAATTTCACATTGTTGTCAACAGAAATAAGTCCTACATTTCTATACATTTTTCACATACATTTCTATACATTTTTTCACAAAAAGAAAGTTTCAACATGTGCTATGTGATATGTGATACGCACATGTACATAATATGTGATGATTTTTTATAAATTATTAAATATTTTTTGCGTAATTTTTTTTTTAAATCTCAGACTTTTTTTTGTAAATCACTCTGTTGTTTCAACTTGTCGTAAATGCCAAACTTAAAATCACTTCAGGCAACATAAAATCAATTCATAAAGTATAATACGCCGATTAAAATTTTTTAATTCGATGACTCTTCCAGCATATAAACTCAGTAAAAAAATAATGAGAAAAAAAATAACTTAGTTTGACAAATGGTTTGACACTGAAGAGCAATGTGATATCACCTTTATTTACTTGCAATCGTAATCGAATAGGAGGATTTATTTTATTTTAATAATTTAATATTGTACCTAATTAATTTATGAAAAATTAATTAAATTTATAGAAGTTTAAATCTGCATAGTGGACGTTTATCATTTAAAAGATTAAAGAAATTTTTTAATTTGTAATGCAAACAGTAGTGTTAAGGTGAAAAGAAAAATAAGAGCCCAATTTTAGTCTCAAGTTAGGGAAAAAAGATTATTAAAATCTTGTTGGATTTTCAGATTAAAATACATTGGACTATTGTACTTTAATAATACATTCAAGAGAAATTTCGTATCGCAAAAGCAATTTCTAAAAAAAGGAAGCAAAATGATAAGGTTATTGATTTAAATTAGCTAGCACATAAAAAAATTTAGAAAAATATAGAACTTGCCTAATTTATAAATATTTTCTAGGATTGACAATATCATTAAATCCGAAAGTGACAAGCGAGATTATAGGGGTAACAAAAAATTTCGCGAAATAAATAACAAAAATAATTTATTCTTATAAAGCATTAAGAAAAAATTGATTTTCTTTATTTTCTTGAATAATGTTCAAGGTCTAATTATGGAAAATAAAATGAAAGTGCTGTTAGTGTCGGATCCTTCTACAGATATTTCATCTGCTGCTCTTGCCGTTGAAGTAGGACACATGAGTGATCCTGATCATATTCCAGGTTTAGCTCACATGTGTGAGCATATGTTGTTTTTGGGAACTGAAAAGTATCCTAATGAAAATTCATATTCATCATTTTTATCTCAAAATGGAGGGAATAGTAATGCAGGTAAATAACGTAATAATGTTTTTTTATGTGAATGGAATTTATTAATTGAAAATTCTGATCAATGTTTGTTTTAATAGCAACATATCACAATTTAACGAAATATTATTTTACCGTTAAACCTGATCAACTTGAAGGAGCACTAGATCGTTTTGCTCAATTTTTTATATGTCCATTATTTACGGAAAGTGCAACAGATCGTGAAATCAATGCCGTAAACTCAGAACACGAAAAAAATCTATCAATTGATAGTTGGAGAATACGCCAAGTAAATAAAAGTTTAGCTATAGAATCGCATCCTTATTCAAAATTTGGTTCTGGTCAGTATGTTTTATTTCTGAAAAGAACTTTAAATTAACTGAATATTATTTTAGGGAATGAAAGCACATTGAAAACTATTCCAAAACAAAAAAATATTGATGTAAGAAGTGAACTCATTAAATTTCATGATAAATGGTATTCATCAGATATTATGTGCTTATCTGTGCTAGGAAAAGGTATAATATTTTCAAATAATTTTTACAAATATATTATTGACACTCCAATTATTTTTATAAAATAGAAACTCTAGATGAACTAGAAGAAATGGTAATTACTAAATTTAGCGATGTTAAAGAGAAAAATGTGGAACCTCCCCGATGGTCAGACAAACCGTATGATGATTCACAATTCAGTACTAAAGTTGAAATTATTCCCGTAAAAGATATTAGAGCTTTAACTTTGAGTTTCATGACAAAAGACTTAGATGAATATTATAAATCGCCCGTAAATTATATTTTAAAATTAAAAATCTTAGTTATTGACCATTTTATTATTATTTCTAGCCTGAAAATTACATAAGTCATTTAATTGGTCATGAAGGAAAAGGCAGTATATTATCAGAACTTAAAAAACAGGGATGGTGTAATGAGTAAGATTTCTTTGTTCTAATATTTTAAACCCTAATTAAAAGTATGAATTAATATTTAGTTTAACAGCTGGTCACTCAAATATTTCAAGAGGATTTGGTTTCTTTGAAATTTCTGTTGATTTAACCGAAGAAGGTTTCAATAATGTAGATCAAATAGTACACTTAATTTTTCAGTATATTAAATTGTTAAAAGAAGAAGGTCCTAAGAAATGGATATTCGATGAATATCGCAGTATTAATGAAATGCTTTTTAAATTTAAAGAAAAAGATTCGCCCACAAATCTTGTTAGTAACGTAGTTCATTTAATGCAGGTATTAGCGTTAATAAAATAAAATTAATTAACAGTTTAAAGGTTTTTTAATAATTTTAGATTTACCCACTCGAAGAAGTTTTATCCGCTCCATATTTGTTGTCTGAATGGAAACCTGAGTTGATAACGGAAATTTTGGAATGCTTAAAACCTGAAAATTGTCGTATAACAGTATTAGGACAAAAACTTAAAAATTGTAACGAGTCGGAATACTGGTATAAAACTAAATATAGTGTAACAAAAATACCACTGGAAATATTGAAGGTATTTTTTAACAAATATTTAAAATAATTGCATATGTATTTATTGGGTGATTTATTCTTATTATGATTTTAGAAATGGGAAAACTGTCCTTTGAACGAAAATTTAGCATTGCCAGAACCCAATCCATTTGTTCCCACCGATTTTACATTAGTAGCACTGGAAAATGATCTTGCCAAGCATCCTTCAATAGTCCACGATACTTCTTATATTAGAGCTTGGCATAAGCAAGACGCGGATTTTCTTAAACCAAAAACATTCATCAATTTTAGTTTTTCGAATCCGATTGTATATTTTGATCCACTAAATTGTAATCTAACTCATTTATTAGTCCAGCTATTTAAAGATGCTTTAAACGAATATACTTATGACGCAGAGCTAGCTGGTTTAAAATTCGATGTGGAATATTCAACATCTGGAATAAGTGTAAGCAAAAATACAATAACTGGATGAGACAAGTTTTTTTGAGCATTTTTTGACTTATATTTCAGGTTAATATATATGGCTATAGCCATAAAATTAATATTCTATTACAAAAAGTCTTAGATCAGTTATTTAGTTTTGAAATTAATGAAAAGCGTTTCGATATTTTTAAAGAAGATTACACAAGACAACTAAAAAATTTTAAAGCTGAGCAGCCTTATAAGCACGCTATTTATTACTTAGCTTTAATTTTAACAGAAAACGCATGGTCTAAAGGGGAACTTTTAGATGCAATGACATGTAAAGCAATAAAACATTCTCAAATAGTAACTATTTTACGCAGAATATATTTTTTTAAATCTTTTCAGTAACAACATACGAAAATTTAAAACAGTATACTAAAGATTTTTTCTCTAGATTGCATACTGAAATATTTGTATATGGTAACGTTAATAAACAGCAAACTCTGAAAATTGTAGACTTATGCGTAGAAAAATTGGAAAAAACGAATTCAAAAATTTTACCAATTTTGGCAAGACAACTGCTACAAAAACGCGAATATAAACTTAATGACGGTATGATAAAATTATCTATACGTATACGTTTAATTGGAATTTAATAAGTATTTTTAAATTTGTCTTTTATTGTTTTATTAATTTATATTACGTTTTTAGGAGATTGTTATGCTTTTCAAACTGATAACGAGTATCATCACAGTTCCTGTACTCAACTGTATTTGCAATGTAATTCTCAAACCAATAGCACAACTGCGTTTATAGATTTGGTTGCTCAAATTTTAACTGAACCTTGTTATAATTGTTTAAGAACGGAGGTAAAATTTAATGCGTAACACATTTATTGCGAATAATTTTAAATATATAAATGTTGATATTTGTACTTAAAGGAACAACTTGGTTACATTGTATTTTGCGGATCAAGGAAAGCTAATAGTGTTACTAGCATAAGAATTATAGTGCAATCATCGAAACCACCTTATTTTGTTGAAGAAAGAATCGAAAACTTCTTAAATAATATGCTGGTAAAACTAAAAGCCAAAAAAAAACCGGCACAAATTTAATATCTTTTAATAACTCAAAAATAATACTTTCTATTTAGAAAACTTTGGAGGAAATGCCAAAAGAAGAATTTGAACGTTATAAAAACGCTCTAATAACATTAAAATTAGAGAAACCTAAAAAAATGAATACTCAATTTTACAAAGATCTAAATGAAATAACATTGGCCCAATATCATTTTGAAAGAGACCAAGCCGAATGTGAGATTATAAAAAAAATTTCGAAAGAGGAAATTATAAGTTTTTATAAAGTAAAATTATATTCCACGATATTTAAATTAAATACTAAAAAAATATTTCATTTGATTTATAGACTTATATTTTGAAAAGCTCATCAAAACGACGTTCTTTATCGATTCATATAATGTCTACTGTTAAAAAATCAGACGATGCTGAGCAACCAATGGAAAACGGTGTTTTATCAGACAACTATCAATTAATAACCGATTTATCAGCATTTAAATCAAGTAAGGAATTGTATCCTGTAACAAGACCATATCTTGACGTAAATCCTAAAGGCGCAAAAAGTAAATTATAATAAAGACGAAGAACAACTTGTTTTAATTTTGAAAAGCAAAGAAAAAAAAAATTAAACAAAAATGTATTATTTATTTAAATTTGCATAATATGTAAAATTATATTCAATTTATAGTTTTAAATGAATAAATACATACATTTATAAAATCTATTAATAAAATAGTAAAATTTTAAAAACGAAACTAAAAATATAAAAAAATTTTAATTAAAATAATATCATCTTTCAAATAAGAATTTGATAATAAAACGCTATTTGGAATTGTTATTCCATCAGCCATATTTATTAGTTCTTGTGAAACCAAATCTTTCATTGGAGTTTCCTAATAAAAAAAAAATGAATTTTAAATTTTTATATAAAGTTATTATCATCTATGTATAATAAGTCTATAGATCTATTTTTCATTGCATCTCTATTAAACAGATATAGTTCTAAGCTTTTTCTATAAAAATTTAAAAATTCTTTGCATTGTTTCTTAAAAAAGAATTACATAGTTGCCTTTCATACATACCTGATTTAGGATAGCTATTTTATGTTTAAAAATCAAATTATTTATATCCCTAAAAATATTTCCATTTTCTGTATTTAGCGAAATGAATTTATTTTTTGATTGTTGTTCAACTGATATAATTTGTAATCGAAGATGAAAAAAATCTCGTTCCAAATATCTAAATGTTGCTTGAATATTAAAAGTTTTTCCTTAAGAATATTAGAAATATATTAACATTTTATATAATTTTATATAATATTTTAATAATTAAATATTTACCAAATATACTAAATAGTGGACTAGTTTCGGTTGGATAATTTTTATTATTCAATTTTTGTGTGAAATTTTCTATTTTCCAATAATAGGAAAATATTTTCAACTCTTCATCAGAAATTAATGTTTTATTTAACCTTTCAATTTCGGCATATCTTGAATCAATTTTTTTAAAATTAATTATATTTTTCAATGATCGAAAGACTTTCTAATTCTCTAATAATTACATAATCATTTTTTTCTTTAATTTTGAAAATATGTAGTTACCTGCTAGACACTTGTTGATCAGATAGGTTTTTATTCTTTATATTGGAAGATTTTGTTGTAAAATTATTGAATTCAGATATAACTCCACTTGAATTTAATAAATTTTTTAATTCTTCAAATCTTCTTTCAATTTTTAGTTCCAAATTTTCAAATGATCTCCTCATTTCATCTACAATACTCAAAAGTATTCACATATGAATATACATATGTACATAATATGTTTGCGTATGAACATTTAAAAAATCATTTTTATGTTTGTTTATCTTTAATGTAATTCGGAAAAAAAATTCGTCTAACATTGAAATTAATAGTAAAAAGAAGAATGTATGTTAAGATATTTATACCTGACCCGCATACGCCTTTTAATGTTTTTGTTGTTTTTGCCTCAGCACTAGCTTTTACTTCACCAGCTGTTACAGTACATTCAGCATGCTGCATCTCATGTGGTTCTTCAAATAGAAAATCCATTTAATAAAAAAATTTCATTTTTGTACAAAACTCTTCACTTACCAAAAAAGGTTTCATTATTAATATAAAAACTTTTGCATGAATTATTAATTATTAATAGAATTATTAAAAAATATTTTATAAAAAAATATTTCATGTTTAATAGGTATAAAGTAATTCAAAATTTAATTTAAAAAATTATTGGTTGAATGTTGTAGGTACCTACATATTTATTATACGATTAAACTTACTTTTTTAAAAAGAAACTCAATCGATTTGGTATTTTGTGAAGTTTCTTTTCGCTTAAGTTTATTTTTATGAATGATCCTAAAAATAAAACATACATCTTCCGCTTTTGTAACATAACATAAATAATAATGATAATAAAAAAATTGTAAATAATAAGCAAATATGATTTTTTTTCTTCATATTTCATCTTTTTGTTTTTTTATAAAATAAGCAAATTTAGTTTCAACTAAACTATCTTTTTATTATGATGTATGTATGTATGTATAAATAAAAGCATTTGTTTGGGCAAGAACAGAAAGTTAACTTAGACAGAAGAAATCGAAAAATTGGATTTAAGGTATATTAAGGTCTACATTTCAAAAGGAAATCTTTTTTTTTTAAAGGAAACAAGAAATTCATTTATTATTTTAAAGTTACAATTAAATTTTTATTTTTCACCACATGAATGCGGCTTTCTCTCGCAAAATTCTTAAACCATATTTTTTCCATTCCATGGACGAAATCCAAAGTTCGGGTGCACTTTCTAAACATGACATGATTGCAGCCCCTTTCCATGAAGTTATTGCTGGATCCATTCCATGAATATTACTTGAAACAATTTCTAATTGTTCTACAAATATAAATAAAAATATGAACAAATGGCAAATTGATAAATATGCCATAATATCATACAAATAATATACTGTATTATATAAATATGACGATGTAGATATACATGTTAGATATGCTCATATGTATGTATATGAAAAATTATTACATTAATGCTTTTAAAAAAAAACATTTTCCTATTAAATGTATCTTACCTGTTCTATGTAAATATGGTATTTGTAAAGAAACTCTATTGTGTAACCATTTACTTATTTCTGGAAATTTCATTCCACCACCGACTACTAAAATGCAACTAAACATTTTTCGTTTTAACTCTTCGGTAGCTAAAATTATTTAAAAATTGATTTTTTTCTTGAATAATTTAAAGGAATGTTCACTTCAAACGTACGGCATCTTTCAATACTTTGTATAACAGCTTGATCAAGTCCAACAATTTGCCCACCAGGTAAAACAAATTCTTTGTCTGTTGGCTTTACATCTCTTTCAGCTTCAAGTGTATCTACTACAATATCATCATCTTGATTGTCGGCTGTAATTATAGCCCCGTCACCACCTTGAATTGGCTCCAATTGTTCACGACCGCTACGTCTCTAACAAATTTTTTTTATATTTAGTTTTAGCAAATCTTACATTTTAAAATTGAAATATTAAATTTACGCCGGTTTCCCGAATATAACTCGAATCAAAGCAGTCTTCTGAATCTGGTTGAATAGCTGAAGGTTTTTGTACTCTTGCTGTTTTATTTTTTCCCGTGATATTAAGAAGTTCTGTATTGAAAAGAGCAAGGGGAGCAACAATACATTCATCGCCTAGCTGAATTGTATATTTTACAATTTTTTTATTTGATTTAACCGTGAAATTTTTTTCTTGAGATCCGCATATGTCCTGTAGAATAATCAGATTACTTTTTGCCATATGGATTATTTTTGTTTAATCTGATAAATCTTACTAAATTAACATGGCAATAATCTTCTTTTAATTTTTTTAATAGTAAAGCATCTTGTATATTATTATTATCACATTCTTTGTATGGAAAAGCACACTTTTGCAGTAAATAGTAAAATGTTTGCGTTACATCTCCTCCACCATATTCTAAACGAACTCTTGTACTTGGATGTGATATTCCATCCTCAACACATGATACTGAAGTTTTCTGGTCTCCAACATCAATAACACAAGCATATCCCAATCCAGCACCGAAAGTAGCTGCAACATGATCCTAAAGAATTTGCTTACAAAACTTAAACCTAATTTTCATCGTTAAAATTGGCAAATCTTTGTTCGTACCTGAACAAGGAAACAACTTCCGAATCCCATTTTTATAAGCAACATCGTAGTAAGCTCCTTTAAATGACTACGATTATATATATCTGAAACAACTAAAACAGCCTTGTATTGTGAGAGGTCACTGCAAATTAAAAACATTGTTTTGCATGTTGTTTTTAGTTTAACATATAAAGCTTTTCATTATAACTAACCTTAATTTAATATTCATTTTTTCAGAGAGAGCATATTCCCAAATTGCTTGCAAATCTGCTAGTACCGCTGATAAAGATCCTCCAACATTTCCGTGTAAATTAAGATCCCCTTTACGAAAAGGGAAATGCAAATTATATGCTAAATCTGATTTGACATTTATTATCTATCATAGAAAAAGTAATGATCTTAGAAATCATCTGAACATTTAGTTGCTTAAACGTTATTTAGAAATATTACTTCATCACCAAAAATAATCTCCTTGTCTGGAACAGGGATATCCATTGCATTATCATCTATACATTCAGCTGTCGAGCGTCTATTGAAGGCTGAAATTTGTTGTGGTGGAGTAGCATACCGGCGTCTTCCATCTGATTGTAAGCACGATTGCAATGTATGAGAAACTTGTAATCTACACTCTTCGAACTCGTGCATTAACTCTTGTGACTAATACAAAGTAATTGCAATAAAAAAAAAATACAACTGTTTATAATAAACACCTTACCCTCTCAACACAAGCGGGAAGAAATGAATCTCTGTAAAAAACTCCATTTAAACGCCGCTTTCTTGCAACTGCATGTAAAATCCTAATAGGATTAAGATCTGAAGCTCTGCCCATTCTTAAATTTAAAGATCCTAAAAATGTATTTCTTTAGAATTCAAACATTTAAAAGCAAATTAATAAATCATTACCTGGGTGAATAACAATTATCATTTGGGCTTGAAGTTGCTGTTAAATTAAAAAATTATGAAAATTTATTGTAAAATATATGTACATATGTATATTGTATTAAAATTAATTGTTTTGCCTACCTCAGGGCATTCGGAAACCGGGGGCATTTTAAATTATATTTTAATGTCTACTTATAGAAAAAAAGAACACTTTAAATTTCAGATTTAGCAATATAAAATAAAAATGTTCCAAATCCTTATTTATGAAGACTAACCACACTTGTTATTTGAATTTGCGGCTTTATTTAATTTTTCATCTTTTTAAAATTCTGCACTTAATAGAAACAAAAACAAAAATAAATGAATACAGTAAAACCTTTAAAATCGATACATTAGCAAAGTTGCAATAATTGTTACAAAAATTTTTTTGCTATTTTGACAGCCGGTGGTTTTTAACGTAACTTAAGGTATCAGCACATGTCAAATTACTTATTAACATCTAGTTCAAAAAGGCACAAATCAAAAAATTTTTAAATAAAGTAAAACTTTCATTTAATGCACCTCATATAAATTACTGGTTTTTCAAAATCTAAAAAACGTTGTTGAACTCAAGATGCCGCGAAATATACATCTAAATTTGTGTTAGCAAATAGCATGAGCTTAAATGCGTAGTTTGTAAATTGAACGGTCTTTTTGGATCTATGAGAAAAACATAACGGAGGAGTTTTTGCTTTTAATTACAATATTCGAAATGAAATATTGACATAATCAATAGTAAAAAGCCTTTACTCTAGTTGTTTTCAAATTTGAGAATTTTTGGATATTTGAATTTTTGTAATAGGTATAAGATATTTTACAGGCATTAGTTTAATGTATACAAAACTTAAAAAAAAATTGCAAATCTGTACGCAGGAGGGCCAAAATTATTTGTGTGAAATTAAACTGGCAGCATTTATATTATGCTTGAAAATGTTAAATTGACATCCATGCTAGCCTTTTAATCGCCATTATGAAAAATGATTTTGTGTTCAATAAATTTTTAATTAATTAGAAAAAAAAGTATTCTTGATTAAAGCGTAAAAAAGAAATTAAAGCGACCAAATTGTAAATTTTGGTCACGTAATTGGGTTAATAAAAGGCAATGGAAGAAAATTCAGCTATAGACGCTATGCCGGATATTTCAGATCAAATAATCCCAGAATCGAGTTTTTCTGACGCTGAAGAGAGTAGAAAATCAAACTCTGAATCAGAATTTCGGTAAAAAGTTTTGCTATAATTTTTTTTCCATTAAAATGTGAATTGTTTTCTCTTTTAAAGATCAAATGAACAGACTGAAGAAGAAGAAGCCGCTCCGAAGGGTAACAATCATGAAAACGAAAATGAGAATGTAAGTAATCGATTTCTTTCATATGTAATGATGAAATTTATAACCAAAAAAATTCCAGCCCGATTTAAAAATGCCACCCTCTACAAATCCCAGTGAAATTTGGATTGAAACATCAACTGATACTGGTAAGCCTTATTATTATCATGCGCTGACAAGAGAGACCACTTGGACAAAACCTGAGGGACCAAATATAAAGGTTATACAACAACAACATATCTCAGCGGATAGTTCTGGTGATAAAAAAAACCAAGCGTCACATCAAAACTTTGATAATGCTAATCCATTATTAAATATACCAAATAGAGTACAGGGTAATGTGCCGAATCAACAGCCGCAAGCGCAGACACATCAGCAATCACAACATCTGTCTGGTAATAATCACGATAAGAAGCCTCCATTAGGGCCAGGACCTGGAATCCCAACACATCATCAGCCGCCTCCGCATATGTTTCCACCACCTGGAGGGTTTCCTATTACACCAGGTAATTTTAATAATCCCCCGCCGTTTTCTGTTCCGCCTCCAGGATTTGGAAATGCACCACATCCTCACGCAGGGGCCCCTTGGGGGATTCCTCCATGGGGAATGCCACCCCAAGCGGCACAGCCACAGCCAACTCCTCCAAAAAATTTAATTATTAAACCGGGTGTGATAGATCCAGGGGTAATATCTCGTGCTGCGGAATGGTCTGAACACAGGGCACCAGACGGTAGACCATATTATTACCATGCTGGCCGTGGTGAAAGTGTTTGGGAAAAACCTCAAGCTATAAGAGATTTGGAAGCTGCACGTCTAGCTGCTCATTCTGGAGCACCACCAGCTTCACCCATAATTCCTCCGACAAATATGCCACCTCGCCCTTTAATGCCTGCAAATGCTGTGGTAATACCTACAGGACCAGTTGAGCATTTAGGATTCCCGCCCTTAATGGGACCACCAGGCACAGGTCAGTTAATTGATCCAATGATTTCTAATCAAGTTGTGAATGATAACAAATCAGATAACAAGCAAAAGAAAAAGGAAAATGCTGATACAGAGAATGCAAAAAGCGATCAAAATGATAAAAGCCAAAATAAAAAAACAGCGGTTGTTGATAAATCTAGACCAGTATCCAGTACTCCTATCAGTGGTACACCCTGGTGTGTTGTATGGACGGGTGACGGCCGAGTTTTTTATTATAACCCTTCAACGCGTTCATCGGTTTGGGAGAGACCAGCAGAACTAAAAGACAGACCAGATGTGGATAAAGCTGTAGCCAGTTGTCCGAAAAATGTTCAGTGTAGTGCACCAGAAAATAACTCAGAATCGGAAAAAAGTCATGAAACAGAAAATAATCAAGAATTTGAAATACCAGCCAAAAAAGCAAAATTAGCTGGTTTGTATTCAAAAATAAGTGTATGAAAGGAATAATTATTCTTTTATAAAAATTTTTCAGAGCCAAAAGTAGAAAAAGATGCTACAAAAGAAGCGGCAATTGAGGCAGAAGTACGTGCGTCAAAGGAACGTGCCTTAGTTCCATTAGAACAACGTGTCAAATCTTTCAAAGAAATGCTACGCGAAAAAGATGTATAATAATTAATAAGTATTTTATTTAAAAATGATAGCATAACTAAATTACTCTTTTAGGTTAGCGCATTCAGCACTTGGGAAAAAGAATTACATAAAATAGTTTTCGATCCAAGGTATTTATTGCTAACGTCTCGGGAACGAAAACAAATATTTGAAAAATATGTAAAGGATAGAGCTGAAGAAGAGCGTAAGGAAAAGAGAAATAAAATGCGGCAAAAAAGAGAGAATTTTCGTGATTTACTTGAATCGGCAAATTTACATTCTAAGTAAGTTAAAATTTTTGGTAATGAAATTATTTTTGTTTTGTAAATTTTGTTTTTCTCTGTATATTATAAATTTATTTTTGCACTCTTAGCAGAAAATTAAGCACATTTGAATTTGGATGTAAATGTCGATCTGCCAAATCATAACTTATGAAAAGGGTTACATTATCCGTCTAAAGCTTCTGAACTTTTTGTTCTTAGAACCCGGATTGAAATGTGCCTATTAAATACTTGGAAATTATTAAAATAGATGCTAATAATTTAATTTTTTAGGTCATCTTTTATAGAATTTTCATCTAAATATGGTCGAGATGATAGATTTAAAGCAATTGAAAAAGGTAAAGAACGAGAAAGTCTGTTTAACGAATTTATAATTGAAGTTAGAAAACGTGAAAGAGAAGAAAAAATGCACCAAAAAGAAAATGTGAGTTATTAATTTATAATTTCTTAGTAATTGGTATTCAAAATTTAATTAATTTTTTTTTCACTTGGTTAGATAAAGAAAAAGTTTTTGGAAATGTTGAAGGAGAAATCTGATATTACACGACATACAAGATGGTCAGATGTTAAAAAACGTTTTGAGTCAGACAGTCGGTATAAAGCCGTAGATAGTTCTTTCTTACGAGAAGAATATTTCAACGATTATTGTTATTATTTAAAGGAAGAGAAAAAAAAGAACAAAGAGAAAGACAGGGAACGTGATAAGGACAAAAAGGATAGAGATAAAGACAAAGACAAGGATCAGGAAAAAGATCGTGATAAAAGTTCAAAGAAGAAAAATAAAGATAAAGAGAAACATAAAAAAGATGAAGGAGATGATTCCGATAAAAGCTTAGATAAAAATGAGGTAAATAAAAAATTGAAATTAACAAATATTAGTTTATGTTTTAAGTGAACTTCCATAAAACTTGAGGCGCACACACAAATTTTATTTTTGATAAATTAAATTCACTATCTCATTTAAATAAGCACTTCGCTCCAAATTTTATAAATTGTACTTAACTGTTTTTTTCCAAATCAGCCTTGTTGCATGATTTTGTTAATCTTAGTGAAATAGTTTCTCTCACTGTTATCAATTTATTTTCGAATTAGCCAATTTATTGATAAATTATAGATAGAACGCACATTTACGAGTATTTAAAATGAAATCACAATATAACTTTAAGATTTTAAAGACACTATCGTCTAGGAAAAAGAATTGTTATTAGAGTTGATTAGAAAATTCTACAAATTTTAAGTTTTCAATAATAAAATAATAGGTCAACAAAAATTGGTAAGTTTTTTTTTTTGTTTTTGAAAAATTATATTAGGAATTTAAATTTTTTTTACTGTATTATTTGTGTATATATTTATTACTTAAATATTATTTTTTCATATATATTTATTATTCAAAATAATGCATTTATATAAGACTTATTTTGTTATATAATAATTAGAATGATATTTCGAAATCTGATGAAGAAATTGAGAAGAAACAGAAAGAAAGAGATCGTCAATTACGTGCAGAACAAAGTATTAAAGAAAGAGAAAAAGAGGTAAACAATGAAATTTTTAAATTAAGTAATAATTTCTAATTTTTAAATATTTTGTCCAAAAGGTCCAAAGATCATTAGCGAATCACTTAAGGGATCGCGATAAAGAGAGAGAGCATCACAAAAGAGAGGAAGCAATGAGGAATTTTAATGCACTTTTAGCAGATTTAGTACGAAATCCAGATTTGACATGGAAAGAAGTCAAAAGACAATTAAAAAAAGATCATAGATGGGAGCAAGTAGAATATTTAGAAAGAGAAGACAGAGAGAAGTAAAAACAAGAATAATTGTATTTGAAAACATTTTTAATGACGCATCGATCTATTTTTTATCTTTCAGATTATTTAATGTTCATATTGATATGCTCGTACGTAAAAAACGGGATAATTTCCGAGAAATGTTAGATGAACAAAATTTGAATTTAACAGCAACTTGGAAGGATGTTAAAAAGGCAATCAAAAGTGATCCAAGATATCTTAAATATAGTAGCAGTGAAAAAGTAAGAAACTATGATTTTGCTCTTTTTGCTCTATTTTATTCAATATTTTATTCATTTTGTTTTTAGTGTGAGAGGGAATTTAAAGATTATTTGAGAGATAAAACAATAGAAGCAAAAGCATCATTAAGAGAATTATTGCTGGAATGCAAATTGATAACACATAAAAGTTTTGAATCAGTACAAGAAAATCCACTGCATTTGAAAGAAATTGAGGATATATTAAAAAATGATAAAAGGTAATTTTTAGAAAAAGTATAATCGATTGTTTTATTATATAATTGCAATTTATATGTTTTAGGTACTTAATGCTCGATCATATGGATCATGAACGATCCCAAATTATATTATCCTATTTAGAAGATTTGCATAAAAAAGGACCTCCACCTCCACCAACTGCTACAGAAACAACGAGACGAAAATAAATAATATTTATTTAATCTTTGACATAAACTTTATTTGAATTTTTTTTTTAACAAAATAATTAAAATCTAAAAATTATAAAGTAAAACAATTAAAAAAAAAAAACAGTTTTTATCTTCGAATCTTTATGTAAATTTATAAATAACAAAGCGGAAAATTTTATTGATATAATTTTTAAAAATAAATCCAAAAATATGATTCTAAGTTCAAAAAACCAATATTTCAATTTTCTAATTAAGACTTTAATTTGACTTTATTTCAAGTTTGTTACTTGAGTAACTTTCATTTTAATTTTATTAAAATTTATTTACTAATAAATTTTTTAAATGCTATTGAAAATAATTATAAAAGTATAATTTCAATCATCGGGAAAAAATTTTAATTTAATTCATTAAGTCATTTAAAATGAATCAAAAAAGAACTAATAAAATTTTCTATATATAAAATAATATTTTTTATTAAAAAAAATTCGATACATTTGATGGTGTTCTTTTAGATATTAAGATGATAATTTAACTGACATGTACGGTAAACATTTGGATATTTCTAGTGTCTTCAACATTCATTAAAATTAATGGTAATTTTAATTTTTGTTTCGAATGATATTTGAATAAACTAGATATATTTGGAAATTCTTCATTAATTATTAAAACTCTAAAATCTGGATTACCGTTTCCTTTATCTTTCTTTTCAAGTAAATATAAATCAAAATCAGGCGATATATCTTTTAAAGCCGTTTCGTTTTCAATATTTGTGTTAGTCGCTTTTTCAATTTTAATTGAATTAAAAATGCTTTGTATTTTATCTTCATTCATTTCACTAACCTTTGCTTTTTTAGAAATTCTGTATTTTGAAAAATCTTCATATGGATCCTTTCTTTTACAAGAAGTTTCAGTTATGTTGTCATTGGAACTTTGGATATTTTCCGAATAAACAGTTTTCTGTATAATTAAGTTGAAATTTTGTCTTATTTCTTTCATTTTAGTTCGTTCAAAATAATTTTCTGTACGTCTTTTGTTCAACTTCAAATTTTCGAAAAGATTTTGCCAAATATAAGATTGCTCATCAATAAAATCATCATTTTCATTAAATTGTCTTAATTCCAATCCACATCTCGTTAAAATGGAAGTAATAATATATTTTTTAAAAATTCTATGATTTTCTTCATTTAGTATTAAGCAGTAAGCTTCCTCTAATGACAAAGGCAATTTCTTATAATATATTTCAACATGATTCATTTCCAAATAAAACAATATTTTACAAAAGTTTAATTCACCGTTTGATCTAAACCTAGATTTTCCAATTTGTCTAAGAATTTCAATTATTTGAATTTTCGGATCATATTTCAATTGACTTCTAGAACATAAGCGATTTGTTCTTAAAGCAGAAATCTTACGTTGTAAATCACATTGCAATTTAGATATTAAATTTTGTTCTTCAATGTCTTCATGAGGTATCACTTTCTTTTTAATTTTCAAATTAATATCTTCTTGGTTCAATGCATTCAACAATTCACTAACGCTTACCAAAGATATGCCAAAAACTAAAATTGATTCATTCATCTTGTTTGTTTTAATTCAAATTGCTTAAAATTTATTTATGTTTTTATTTTGTTAAACGCAAATGATATGTGTTTGTACATGTGTGGCCTTCATTCTTCAATCAAAGTTTGACAAATATTCATATGACATTCCAAAATGTAACAGAACTGGTCACTTCAAAATCTCCCAACAAACTTTATATGTACGTATTTTAATATCGATTCTTGAATCTTGATTAAACACTGATTTGCATGTTTTGTACAATCCACAAAAATAGCTTCAAAATTTTTTTTTTTATTTTATTTGTAACTTGTACAATAATGCACGCGTTCCAGTGTGTAGTTTCAACGATTTGATATAGATGACCTGTGCAATTATGTTGCTCTTTTCCGGCAGGTGGAAATAGTATTCTTAATCTACACAAGATCGATTTTGTGTTTTCGAGATATTTTGGCCCATGAAAAATAAGTAAATGGAAAAAAACATTTATGCCAAAACAGTTAAGGTCATGTTTTACTCATATACAGAAAAAATTTGAAATTTAAAAAAATTGGTTTAACAAAATCATTTTAAGGATTTTAAGTTTTCAAATTGTAATTTTAAAGAGCAAAAGTTGGTTGAACAAACTTTCTCAGAAACCTCGTAGTCGATATTTATTTTGTTGTCACGAAGTGACATTTTAGTTGTCTTTCTTTATGTCACTGTCGACCGAAAAAAATCTAATTTAGTTTTAAGAGCCACATTATAAAAAATTATTTTTTTTTTAATATTTAATATTTGTTGAAAAATGAGTAGCTCTACAGAAATAATTAAACGAGATTTTCCTGGAGTTGACGATAGTGTTTTAGATTATGTAAATGGTAAGTGTGACATTGAGATTAAATGAACAGCGTGAATGGAATGCAATAAATTTATTTCTTACGGATTATCTTAAAAAATCCAACAATAAAGAAAAAAAGAAAAAGTCGAGATATGCATAAAGTATTGCAAAAAAAATTTTTAGTTACGAAATTTAAACACGTCGACTTTGTAATTTTCACCCGCTTGTCAATTGAATCTTGAATTAATTAAGATAAATTGGTCTTTAATTAATTTTATATGTAAAAGCTTTCCGTCACAAATTATTGTTTTAGGAATTTTGGAAGATGATGACGGCTTTAATGACTGTGATGAGCTTTATGAAGCTATAGGTGATCTTCTACAGGGGTTAGCGTTTGATAAACCTGAGGAGTCAATTAGGTAAGTAGGTATTCTCTTTTAAAACTATAGATTTCTAAAATAATATAGTTTTAGACAAACTTGCGAACAACTTTTTGATTTAATCCAGTCTAAACGCGTGGATGCCCCCACGAAAAACAAAATTTTAAATGCACCAATAAATATTGCCGATTTGGCTGCTGAAATGGACAATGTAACCAAAGATATGAAAAGTATATGGGTGGTGGAAAGAAATGGACCTAATGTAAGGACTATTGCTAGAAATGTTCCAAATCTTTTTTTTATAATAGAAACATTTTTTTTATAATAGAAAGTAGATTCAAAAAAATTAGAAAAAGCTGAGCAAAAAATTCAACAAAAGATTGAGAAACGTCAGGAGAATGGTAAAGTTGGTCAAACAATCGTACCTAAACAACAGACTGCTACCGCTTCGCAAGTTATAAATAAAAAGGATAGTAAACTGGAGAGCAAAAATCAAAATCGTAGTATGGATATTCGTATAGAAAATTTTGATTTGGCTTTCGGAGAAAAAGTATTATTACAAAATTCTGATTTAACATTATCTTATGGCAGAAGATACGGTTTAGTCGGCCGTAATGGTTTAGGCAAAACAACCTTATTACGCATGATATCAGAAAAACAACTAAAAATTCCAGAACATATTTCAGTTTTACACGTTGAACAGGAAGTCACTGGAGATGATACGCGAGCAATTGATAGTGTTTTAGAGTGCGACATTGAACGAACAAGGTTACTTAGTAAAGAAAAAGAAATTTTAAAATTAGTGAATTCTGGAAATTCGGATGCAAAATTAACTTCTGAGTTGAGTGAAATTTATGCAAAATTGCAATTGATAGAAGCTGACAAAGCTATTGCCAAAGCTTCTATTATTTTGAGGGGCTTAGGATTTTCAGCTGATATGCAGGAAAGGCCAACAAAATCATTTTCCGGCGGTTGGCGTATGCGTTTAGCATTGGCCCGAGCTCTCTTCTCTAAACCAGATTTATTGTTATTAGATGAACCTACGAACATGTTAGATATCAAAGCTATTATTTGGTTGGAGAACTACTTGCAAAATTGGCCATCAACATTGCTAGTTGTATCTCACGATCGTAATTTTCTTGAAACAGTACCTACAGACATTATACACTTACATTCGCAACGCTTGGATATATATAAGTAAAATTGATTTTCAAATAATTTTGCGTGCAATTAAAATAAAACTGAATTTTATCTTTAGAGGTGACTACAAACAATTTGAAAAAACCAAAAATGAAAAATTGAAAGCACAAAGGCGAGAGTACGAAGCTCAGATGGCTCAAAGAGCTCATGTGCAAGAATTTATTGATCGATTTAGGTATAATGCTAACAGAGCCGCAAGTGTCCAATCAAAAATTAAAATGTTGGAAAAAATGTGAGTAGAAATATAAACTTAAAAATTTCATTTTTATTAAGAAAAAAATTTTAGGCCTGAACTGAAACCAATTGAAAAAGAAATTGAAGTTAAATTAAAGTTTCCAGACGTCGAACCATTAAATCCTCCTGTGATAGCTATGAACGAAGTTGGATTTGCATATGATTCTGGTGTAAGAATTTTTGATAAAATTAATTTATCTGGGACTTCTGATTCACGAATATGTATTGTAAGAATTAATTAAAAAGGAATTGGTTATGATAGCCTTTTATAGTTAATATTTCCAAAAAAATAGGTGGGTGAAAATGGAGCCGGTAAAACAACATTGCTCAGGATTATAATAGGACAACTTTCCCCCCAATCAGGAAATGTCACATTACATCGTGGTTTACGAGTGGGATATTTTGCTCAACATCATGTTGACAATTTAGATATGAATAAAAGTTGTGTTGGAGTTATTGAAGAAGATTTTCCTGGTAAACCGCAAGAAGAGTACCGGCGACAACTTGGAAGTTTTGGAATCTCTGGGCCACTAGCATTACAAAGTGTTGGAAGTTTATCTGGAGGACAAAAATCTAGAGTTGCTTTTGCCAAAATGTGTATGGGTACGTTTATTTTTATAGTATTTTATTAAAAGAATTGGTAACTTCATGGCATATTATTGATTTCAGCTGAACCTAATTTCTTAGTTCTTGATGAACCTACAAATCATTTGGATTTGGAAACAATAGACGCCTTAGGTATTGCGATAAACAAGTTTAATGTGAGTAAAAAAATGTGTGTATTATTTATATTTCAATTTTAAAATATTTTTTTAGGGTGGTGTAATTTTGGTATCCCACGACGAAAGATTAATAAAATTGGTTTGTAAAGAATTGTGGGTATGCGGAAACAAAACTGTCCAAAGCGTAGAAGGAGGAATAGAAGAGTATAAGAAAGCTGTACTTAGAGAAATTGAATCATCTGTTTAACTCATTTGTATAAACTTCACTTTTGTTAAAGAAATTTTTGATATATATTATTCAAACTTATAAAAAAATATAAAATTATCTATAATAGCATAATTAACGGTTATTATTGTTAGCTGTCATATTTCATTCCGAATATATTTCAAAGGAATTAGATATAAATAATTAAAATATTATAATAGTACGATTTAGTGTGAATTGGGAAATTCATTCTGAAAACGATTGCAAAAATTAAAAAAAAAACAAGTTTTTTTTTCCAGAATTTTATATTGAAATAAAAATTAGATAATTTAAAATTTACACTTTTAATTTATATGTCACAATCTAATTAAATATCTTCCGATGCATCAAGCACTGCACCTGAATAAGCTAAATCCCAATAATGCTCGACTTGGTGTTTTTGGAAAAATTCTCTAGCCATTTTCTCCATTGGAAAAATTTTAAATTTAATTTCTCCGAAATGCCTTCGTTGACAAGTTCCTTCCCATACCAGAGAACAGGAGTTTGGCACTTCATTACCGTCGACATTTTTAACCATATCTTCTTCCCACTTTACTCGATGTAACATTAGTCTACGAAATTTTTTTTGTTGTTTTGGTCCACCCTCCACAACGACTACACAACAATCGCGAAATAGAATCACAACACCTGTCATATGTAATTGTTTAGCATTCGTTTCAACTTTAAATTTTTTACTCGCGTTATCTTGTAAATCTCGTATTCTAAAAACGCTCACATGGACCCCACAAGATGTATCTTCTTTGATTTTTCGTATTTTCTTTTCACGCTTTTGTTCAGTCGTTAGTTTTCTAGCTTTGTTTGCATCTTCATGGGCTTTTTGCCTTTTTAGCATTTGTTCACGTACGTGAGCTTCTATTTTAGTTGGATCCTGAACTGCTTCGTTTCCAAGAACTCTCATTAAATTAGATATTCTGAGTTTTGGTTCAGGGGGTGGAATTAATCCTAATCTAATTTTTTCTTGTTCCTCTTTCCATGCTTCCCTTCTATTTTGCCTTCGCAATTTTTTACGTTCCTTCTTTGTTAAAAAAACTGGTAAATAAACTGGTTTTAGGGGCTCATCTACAATTATTTTGAATATCATTTGATCATTTTGCTTATAATTAAGAAATTAATACAGATACTTACTTGGTGGTTTCATTTGCGTTGGATGCTCTATCAAATTCGTAATGGCTGATGTTCTTACACTTATTTTATTATCATCACTTAAGGTATTTAAATCATTTGCAAGCACAACAGAATCCCACCACTCCATATTAGGAACTTCTTCACCTCCAACATCTTGTTTAGGTGCAATTAAAGCCAATTTTGTTGCTGAGCTAATTCCAGTTTTTCTTGCAATTTGGGATATTTCGTTTTGCAATTTTTCTAATTGTGCTTTCATTCGTAATCTTTCAGCCATTTGCTGAAATTTCCCTGGCTCGTGGAAACGTAAATTTCTTTTCGACCGGACATTAGGTTTTACAGCAATACGATCATCAAAATAAGATAAAACTTCTTGACTATTTTTATCATTTGTAGAACTTTTATTGAAAACTTCACGCTTTTTGGCTCTTATATTAGCTTTTAAAGTAGGTGCTACCGTGGGTATATTTATAGCTCTACCAGATTTATCTACTGTACGTCCTTCTTCATCTAAAATAAGTGGTTTAGGTCTTTCTTGTACTTGAGGAATCATGTTGGCTAAAGAGCCTGATAATTTTGCTCGTATTTGAGCTTGAAGTTCAGCTATTTTTCTTGCTCTCTCTGCATCTTCAGGTTTTTTCGAGTTTAGAACCTGTGAAGCCATTGCAACGGGAAGACCTATTTGTGGAATTGATGCTAGGACTGGATCCTTTGCTTTAAGTGTATTCAGAGCACGTTTCCTTTCTTCTATTTCCCGTTGAGCATTGGCCATCATCAACTTTATTTGTTGAGATGTTAAACTAACTTTTGGTTTCTGAGAACTCATTTTTTTTTTTAAATTTCTAATTTTCTATTTAATATTTAAATTCAAACAAGGCTTTTTATAAATTTTGCTAAACGTAATAAGTCATAAATACAAATAAATGTCAATTTGACAAATCGAAATACCGAATTCTTTACGACAACAGCCAGGGCTCTTGTTTTTCACAAAATTTTAATAATAATCGATTATAATTTTATTCGATAATTCGACTTTATAATACGCAAATTTCTTCATTTTCACAGTGAAAATGAAGGGTCAAAAATTATTTTGGTAAATTGATTTTAATAATTAAAAGTTTCACTACATTTGAAATGGTCATTTCAAAAAATAGTTGGAATACTCTTTTAAAAAAATTTTAATACACTGTTTCGGCTGAATTTGAAGAAGTGTATACAAATCCGATTTTAAAACATATTAGAGCAATATGAAACTCAAAGTTTATGTTGAAGTGCAATACAAAGCTTCTTAAATATAATTAGAAAACTAATGACTAATTGGAAATTTTTCGAAATCCTTGCTTACTATTTTTTTTTGTTTTGTGGAAATTTTTAAGATGAAAACTACATAATTGTTTCAAAAAGGTTGTTGCATATGTACTTCTACAAAATCTTTATAAATTTAGCATATTAAGTGTTTATAAAATTGGTGAAACTGCATGTTAATCTAAAATCGAATTCAATTTAGAATAAATGATTGAATTACCTAATCATAAATTTCCGTCTAAAAATCATAAAAAAAATTTAGTTGAACTTTGTTTCTCAGCGGTCCTAATTAAGAGTAATTAACAAACAAAACGGTAACACTGGTGTTTAATATAAGCTTCGGTAAATTTATGCATGCATTAAAAGAATTGACGTATAAAAATTATTTTGGGTTTTATTTTTGTTATTAATCCTGACAAAATATTTACATTTTAAGAAGTTTAAACATGCCTGCTGAAATTGAAAATATAAATCCAAATGTATATCAAAAATGTAATGAACGTGAGACTACTGTAGCTGAATATGACGAAAACATTGAAGATCCATTTGATGAGCGTGAAATATTCGGTGAGATTTCTATTACAAAAGAAAATACGAAGATGTATTTAGAATTTTTATTAATTATAGACCTTATAAGAAATATCAATGATCCAGAACATCCTTTAACACTAGAAGAATTACATGTTGTGCAGAAAGATTTAGTTAAAGTTAATAGCGAACAAAACTTTGTGAAAATCAATTTTACACCCACAATACCGCATTGTAGCATGGCGACTTTAATTGGGTTATCAATTCGTGTGAAATTGCTCAGATCACTTCCACCTCGTTTTAAAGTAGAAGTGGAAATAACCCCTGGTACACATGCTTCCGAAAATGCTGTAAATAAGCAACTAGCAGACAAAGAAAGGGTGGCAGCAGCATTAGAAAATTCGCATTTAGCCGAGGTTATAAATCAGTGCATATCACACAATTTAAAACTTTAGAAACGATTTTTCGTTAACATAAGGAGCAATACCGATATAAATATGTATGCGTGTAAAATAAATGATATAGATACATAAAACAATTTTATTCAGAATAGAACTGCTATCAATACAATTTGTACGTTTTCTTTCCAATCTTTATTAAAATTTTGAAGATTCAAAGTTAGTATAAAAATAACACAAGATCATATATGTATGTAGGTACTACGTAACTTCTTATAAATTTTGGTTTAATATAAAACAACTTTTAACTTGGTTTATATAAACTATTTAAATATAGACTTTACGTGGCTTTTATAAAAATTTCTTAAATTTTATGACTTAATTACGTTAAGAGTGCACATTATTTTTTTAGACCTTTAATTTTTTTACCCTTTGTGTTTTTTTTGCTGGATTTTTTAGAAAATTTGTTCATTTTATTTTGATTTATATTTTGGAAATTTTCTAATTCCCGATTAGACGAATTATCCATTTCAATGATTTCGTAATTTGTAAATGCTTCGCTTGACCCCAGCAAACTGTCTGTTTCGTAAATAATTTCAGGTTTAACTATAAATTCTTCTTCGTTATTGGATTCGAACGTTTCCATTATAATATTTTCAATGCTATCATTTTCGTTACCATTTTCTATATACTCCAATTCAGTCTCTTTTGAGTCAAGATATTCATCCGGATTTTCGAAGTCATACATTTCACCAGGATCATCAATTAAATCTAAATTTGTTTGATTTTGTGCAAATATTGAGTTTTTTAAGAACCATTGATACCACCAAAAGTTTGTATCTAATTTTGAATATACTTGAGGATAAGTGTTATGAAATATAACAGCTCGCTTAAAACATTCATTCTCAGTGATACCAGTATGTTTAATTTGTTTTTGTATTTTATACCATGAAAACATTGCTTGCGCTTGAAGAATTTCTTTTAGTGGGTATAAATTTAACATTTTATGAATAAGTTTTGAAGCTAATGTTAATGAACCAAAGCCTATGCGCTGTTTAAAAACGCATAAAATTTTAAATTTTCTGTCAGCGTTTTCCGTAGGGTATTTATTCACGATGTACTCAACAGTGTTTATTGATATTCTTTCACGTAAAAATTCATCAAAACCACAATATTCGTGATTTTCTATAGGTTCTTCATAATCAGTAGACATTTTTCCAGAAAAACAAACAGATTTAACAGAATATTAAAAAAATAAAATTCAAGATGCGAAACTAAGAACAACAATATTCAATTTCAATTCCAAACAATTTTCTTGAAGAGTTAGCAACTATTTTGACGTTAATACCACTCTCACATGACATATAGGTAATATAGAGTGTTTTTAAAACATTTTATAATATTATTATAGCTGTCACTCTTATTTAAGTAATACTCTGCAAGTAGAAGTGGTTTATTGAACCATTCACCAGTTTGTTAATAGTGACTTGAAGGAAATTTTTATAATATGTAAAAATTAAATTTATTAATCATTATATGGAAGCTACATAAATTTTTCTGCAGGTGCTGTCATCTTTTTTTATATAATGACTACAAATTTTATCTTTCTTTATTAAAATTGAGAAAATCCCGCTCTCTTACGTTAATTTTCTTTTGAAATTTTTATTTAAAATTTACTTATTTACAAAATTTTTATTAAGCATAGAAAAAATAGAAAAATATTTAAGTTTTTTAAAATAAATTAAATTTTTTGTACATAGATAAAATCGAAATACATAAAAATTGGAGTTGTAAAAAAATTCAGTGCCAACTTTTTGTAAATTATTAACAATAAGGCAAATGTATTTAGAAATCATGGTGAAAATTTTTTAGAAACAGAAAGCCGTTCTCTTTAGAAACGCATTTAGCTTTCACCTATGTGCATGCATACATACCTTAATAAAATCGTAGGTTCGAATTTTCGAATTCACCTCCAGAAACATTTTTACAGAAGATACTTAACGCAATAGTTTGACAACGCAGAATTATAAACTTACAAATTTAACAGCATTTTTTTTTTCTACCCGCAAAAATTAAGTGAATTTTTTTTAAATAAATATCTAATGTATATATGAAGTGAGTTTTTATTTTTATTTCTGTCATGCTTTGTGACTTGAATATTTTCTGCAGATTATGTTCAAAAGTGTTTTGTTGCCTTGAATGTCGTGTTAAACATGAGTTAGATATACATTCTGTTACTGATAAAATGGATATATATATGCTTCCGAAATTAGAAAGCCTCTTAACTTCTTCAAATTTAAGTAAAGTGCAATCTGCATCACATATAATAAAACACTTTCCAAATCGATGTCTAAAGTGCCTGATGATATTCTTATTTGGTGCTGAGAATCAAAAAACGTGTTTGTGTAAGCTTAAAATGAACGATAATGCAAAAAATCCAGATGTTAACAAAACTCCATTAGTATTTAACGAAGAGAGTTACAAAATACCAAAAGCAGATATGGAAAGAAGCAATTTAAACAAGCATAATTTGGAAACTAAAAACGCTTTTAAAAATAGCACTAAATCGAAAAGTTTTGATTTCAAAAAAGATATCGCCTACAAAATGAATGATACGTTTGAAGGAAATATTAAGGTTTTTCGAACAACTTCTACACCAATGCAAAAGTTCTTGTGGTTTCCTGGCAATAATGCATCTCATTCTCTATCTGGAGGATACCATTCTGAAATTATATCAGACATTTCTTCTAATTCAAAATCTGCAACTAACTTAACCAAAGCAGTTTTGAAAGAAAATATTTCTCAGTTTTCTAAAAAAGGGGACAATTTATCTAGTGCGACAAAGAAAATAATTGAAACTCGAGATTATAAAAACTCTCCTCTTGATTTGAGAACGTCGGCAGTTTTATTGAGAAATCATAGTTCTCCTTCCATAAAGGTTTGTGATAAGCAATTTTCGTCAGGAAACTGTGAACTTACAAAGTACTATTCATTTTCAACGGGAAGAATGATGGAATCTTTGTGTATTAAATCAGCATTATTAAAAAATACATCTTTATCTCTGCAGCTTGAACAAGAATTTGATGTTTACGGTTCTTTTAGAAGTATGGAAGTAATACGTTCGGAAGCAATCAATTCTCATAAAATTGGTGTAAAAACAAAATGTAATTTTTTTCAAAAACAACAGACTCCTTCTAATAACACCATACAAATTACACCTAAATGTAGAAAAGGATTAGAAAAAAAAGTAATTGATTTTAAAATGCAAAGTCAATACAATGAATTAGAAGAAAACGAAATATTTTATACTCCAAGTTCCAGTTTTCATAAACAGATTTCTCCAAAGAATAAGAATTTAAAAGACAAAATAATGAATCGTTCAGAATTGGCAAGCAATAATAAAGAAAATTTTCGAGGTAAAATATGGGATGTGTTTTCTTCACTGATTCGTTTCCCTTCTTTTCATAAAGAAAATTGTCCAAAAAATGTCCAAGGATCTGATATTGTTCTGGATGATAAATTTACTTGTTTTGAAAGTGCAAATATTGATATTTTACCTAAAAGGAAAAGAGATTCTTATGAAGATTCAGTCACCAATAACCACGTAAAACGTATGAAATTGATCTCGGGTCGCAAGCCCTTGGACAGTTATAAAAAAAGAGTAGATACTTCGTCAATTATTGAAACTTAAAGAATAAAAAGATTCGTGCCTAAAAACAATTTTTTTGATTATTAATAACTACGATATTTTAAAAATGGATAAATGAAATTATTTTTTAATGTACTTATATATTTCTTTTGTTTGTCAATAAAAAATGTTTTATTACAAATTAAATTTTAAATACAAAAGTGTAAATTAATAACGTAAAAAAATTAAAACAATTTTTTTTTTTGAAATACTTATTACAAAACCTGTTTTTGCATTTATCCGCATAGAAGTTTGTTCAGTAGTGCATAAAATTTATTTTACTTGTCAATTAAAATAAAAATTGTACATGTTTCTAGATCAACAAAATCGTAATAAATTGCAGATATCATAACAAAAATTGTAGAAATCTGTAAGAAACATTAATGTAAAAATAGGGTTTAAATGAAGTTGGCTACTGTAACGTGCTTTGAAAAGAGAGAAGCTCATGATGCAATTATTCTTATATTGGTAGGTACGTATGTAAAGTTTCTTCTAATAAATTATTATTTTTTGTAGATATTTTTGTTGTAGAAAAAAGTAAGTTTCTAAGTACTTTGATTGAAGTAATTTGCTAATCAGGACTCTATTGTATCAACGACTTTTTACTTTTTTGATGAATCAATCAAAAATTTGCAAAGTTGTAGCTTCAAGTGTTAGAACACTAATGAACTATACTTAATAATAAAAAAGTCCTTTTCTAAAAAGTTAAAAAGAAAAAGGGGTTGGTGCAAAAGAGTCCAGGTAAGTAAAAGTGAAATATTATTTATAGTAGACAAGAAAATATGTAGGGTACTAAATATTTTGCGACGTTAACATCATTGCAAGACCATAATTTTTTTTTTGTTGTGTTTTATTTAAAACATTCTATTCGGTCATACTTGCTCCCTAATATATTTTAACTTTTAATGCTTAGTAATTTAGCAACTTGATAGCTATGATATTTTTGGACCATAAGCAAAAATATGAAATTTTTGTATTAATAAAAATTTCATATTTTTATTAATACAAAAATTTTCATTTTGGACTATTTAAGGAATTAACCACTTCATTATTTTGTGATGTAGGTGTTTTATAAAGCTCAGAAAACGTCGTACATATATTGTACATAATGTACGTATATTACAATATTGTGCTAATACTAATTTTCAAGTACATTTTGTAAATTTTTATTTTTTGCATTGAAAATATTTAATACATTTAAATTTTCGTTTATAATGCCACTAAATTGTTGAGTTTTCTAAAGAATACACGTACATTTAGTACATAATCTATGATAGTACGTCGCTATGAAAGAGTAAAAGAATATGATAACGATAGAGGTTTGAAGAAATTGCAACGTGGTTCACCGTTTTTAGTTTCTAAATACTTCTGTCAATAAACAGCTAGCAATATTTCGGAACTTAGTTTTGATAAGAGATACAAAATAATGAAATCCTGCAAATTTCTGGCTTTTATTTTTGATAGCTGTAATTAAGAGGAAATGAATAAGATAACTAAAATGAAAAGATTTAAATTGATGCTGTAGAATTACTGGACGTAATGGCAGCATATCTTTATTGTAGTCTATTAACATGTCAATAATCAATTACATAAATATGTATATACAACTAATGTTTAACTATTTCTAAATGTTAACTGGTTCTACTAATTTTGAACTGTAATTCGTTTTCGATTACGATTTTGTTCAGAGTTGTAATTTCCAACAGTTAAGTATATTTTCGGAAACCTAAAACGATTGAAGAAAATTATGACAAAATGCAATTTGAATTTTTCGTAATGTCCAACAATATTAAAATAAATAAACCAATGGCAAATGACATCTTCTTTAATAATAATAACAATAAATTCTAATCCATGTAAATAATCTAAATAACAACTAGTATGTGACAATAACTACAATATTAATTTATAGTAACACTAATTTTATTATTCTTTCATGATTATCTAATTTTAATAATTTAAAAAAAATTAAATATGGTTAAATTTATACAAAAAAAAAAATGTTAATTATATTTGCATTTTAGAGTATGTACGCGGTTATATACCTAGTATGCCAAGTAAGTATTAATAAAGAAAATCATTCACAAGAAAAATCACAACATAAAAATAAAAAAAATAAATAAAATATAAAAAGATAAAAAGGAAAAAAATTTATGAATGAAACTGAAAGCTTTATTACTATAAGAATTTTTTGTTTGCATTGTTCATTTTCTGTTTCTTTAGTTGTTTTTTTTTTTTCATTTCATTTTGTGTGCGCAATGTATAAACTGTTTTTTCTTGTTTTACCCGATCGTACATATTTTGCGATTTGTGATATAGATATAGCCGTAGATACAGCAAATATATATATATAGGTATTTTGTTTCGAATCAATGCAAACATTTAATAGCATAGTACATGCATTAGTAATCAGTGATCAGATCAGATGCTATACAACAATATAAGATACAAAGCTATAAAATAAAAAACAAAAAAATAAATTTAACAACAGTTAAAAAAATTTCAGTTTTTCCTCTTTATCATAAGATACAGAAATTTATAATACTCTATTTCTAAATCAAAAATATTTAAAAATTTATTTCAGATAGTTGGAATTTGCTACTAGGATATTGAAGTTTATAATTATTATTATCAATTTTATTATTAAATCAGAATTCTCATTTTTTAATTGAATATGTCATTTTTCCAATAAGATTACTCAATTTTTCAATTAGATTTTTATACACTTTCTCATAATATCAACTGAACCTATCATCTTCAAAAAACAAAGTGAATTCAATTTTGTAGTACATTTTACAAAAAAAAAAACGAGATACGCAATATAAAAAAATTCTTTTACACAAAAATTACATAATACAAATATAATATGATAGTTACTCACTTTTCTCAAATAATAGTAACTCTAACATAAATATCAAAAGTATATTATAATTATTTCACCTACATTTCCTTCTTAGTTCTGATATTTTTCAGTTATTATGTTTGCACATCTGATTTTTCATAACTATGGGACATCTTCCGAGTTTTTGATTTTTTTTGTAGCACAACAAAACAGCTAATATTTTATTGAAACAGATTTTTAAAAGTCAATGTGCCTGTTTGCAAGTTTATGCATTGCGGCTCAGTATTTTAACTTCATATAGCACAGTTGATTGCATTTCCTGATGATGAAGAGATAATCCATCTTCTAATAAATTTCATTTTTGAAAAAAAATATATATATTTTTCATATTTTTAAATATTAGTCTGGTTTTCTTTTTCTGTTTTTATTTCATGCACTTTTTTTCACAATTTCGTAAGGTTTAAATTTTCTTAATCTTTTAATAATAATATTTTAAATTAAATTTCAAATACATAATACACTTTGAAGAAACAAAAACAAAAAAAAATTTTTTTTTTTTTTGTTTTTGCTTCGAGAATAACAACAAAAAGATTTTTCTTATAAAATTTTAATATTAGAGTTAGCCGCTGAGGCGCACATTTTTATTAATTCAGTTAATGTCGTGAGCTCGCGATAAATCAACGTTCACAAAAGATTGAATCGAAAAAAAAAAGAAAAAAAAAGACAAAAACAAAGTAAACAAATTTAATTCTAATGGGATAACAATTTTTTAATTGTAATTTTGTGTTTTTGTTTTTTTTTTTTAATGTACTTGTTTTTATTTTATGCGATAATTAACAAATTACAAAATTAAATTTTTTGCACATGAGATTTGAAAGTTTTTTTTTTTTTTTAAAGAAAAATCTTTTTGAAAAAAAGCAAAAAAAAAAAAAATAAGAAAATATTTTTTGTTTAATTAGTTCAAGAGAGATTAAAAAAATTTTTCTGTTTTCGTTTTTATTTTTATATTTTTTTATTAAAATAATTGAAAGATAACGTTATATGGTTATGTAAAATTGAACTTTAAATATTTTATTAACCGGAAATAGTGTAACTATTATAAAAGCGAAAAAAAAAACAAATATAACAAATTTATTTGCAATTATGAACTATTAAATTTTTTTTCTCTTTATTGATGTGCAAGGTGATTAAAAATAAAATTTATTGAATTTGATATTTCGTAATGAATTTGATGAAGAAAAAAAGAAATAATTATTTTGAATAAATAATATTAAATTAAATAAAATGAATCATTGTCTACAATATGGATATTAATACAATACAATCAGAAATGGTAAGTTTTTAATTTGTAAGTTTTATTATAATTAGAGTGGTAATTGAAATGGGTCTGATAATATTTAGGTACTTAATAACTGGATACTTATTACATATTCGCAGATAATACATATACTTATATTTAATATAAAATCTGTTATTCTTGGCCGTAGATTTATATACCTATAAATTCTAAAATACATTTCTTTGAATCTTCGAAAAATTTTTAAGAGCATTAAATTTGTTGTAATATTTTTCTTATTTAATCAATATTATTGCTGGCTATATAACGTAAGGTGTATTGTAAAATTTATCTCATAACGCTTGTGTGGAAAAATTAAGTTCTTAGAATTTATTAAACATTGTGATTATATTTCACGCAATTAATGTATTTTTGAATTCGCATTATGTCTTTTTATATTTGTCTTTGAAGTGTTCTTGCATACACTTCTAATATAATACTTACATAAGTAAAATACTTACATTAGTAAGTGATTTTAATTAAATAAAATACTACACATTTTTATGAACGTAGTCTATCACGATATATAGTAAAAACTGCGTTATATTTTGTGTTCATAAACAAATTTTACTAATCTAGTTTGTGTATAAACATTACTAAATTTTTGTATATGAACTGTTTTGATTTTATATAATTTTTTATAAATATGTAATAAGTATATTGCACATTAATGACTTCATATTTTCGCATTTCAGTATTGCGTTTCGCTGTTATTGTTTTGCAGTATTGCGTTTATGAAAATCTCTATTATTTACATGCGCACTAAATTAAAGTACTTAGTCCTTTTCGAAAAATTTTGTATGAAATAAAAAAAAAAAACAAAATGTTTGAACTTATTATTTAAATCTATTGAAACTTAAATGCAAGTTGAATTTAAGAAGAA